TACTGTTGTACTGTCACCATCGTACTGTCACATTTTGTCCTGTCACATTTTGTCATTGTACATTTGTACTGTCACCATAGTAACGTCGCATTTTGTCATTGTACTGTTGTCCAGTCACCATCGTACTGTCACATTTTGTCATTGTACTGCTCTCCTGCCACCATCGTACTGTCACATTTTGTCTCGACTGCTGTACTGTCACCATCGTACTGTCACATTTTGTCATTGTACTGCTGTACTGTCATTATCGTACTGTCAAATATTGTCATTGCACTGTTGTATTGTCACCATAATACTGTCACATTTTGTCATTGTATTGTTGTACTCTCACCATAGTACTGTCAAATACTGTCATTGTATTGTTGTACTGTCCCATAGGCCTGTACCATTTTGTCATTGTATTGCTGTACTGTCACCATTGTACTGTCAAATTTTGTCATTGTATTGTAGTACTGTCACCATAGTACTGTCATTTTTGTCATTGTATTGTTGTACTGTCACCATGGTACTGTCACATTTTGTCATTGCACTGTTGTCCTGCCAACATCGTACTGTCAAATGCTGTAATTGTATTGTTGTACTGTCATCATCGTACTGTCAAATAGTTCCATTGTACTGTTGTCCTGCCACCATAGTACTGTCAAATACTGTCATTGTATTGTTGTACTGTCACCATAGTATTGTCACAATTTGTCATTGTATTGATATACTGTCACCATAGTACTGTCACATTTTGCCATTGTATTGTTGTACTGTTACCATCGTATTGTCAAATATTGTCATTGTATTGTTGTCCTGCCACCATAGTACTGTCAAATACTGTCATTGTATTGTTGTACTGTCACCATAGTATTGTCATATTTTGTCATTGTATTGTTGCACTGTCACCATCGTACTGTCACATTTTGCCATTGTATTGTTGTACTGTCACCATCGTATTGTCATTGTACTGTTGTCCTGCCACCATAGTACTGTCAAATACTGTCATTATATTGTTGTACTGTCACCATAATACTGTCACACTTTGTCATTGTATTGTTGTACTGTCACTATCGTACTGTCACATTTTGTCATTGTACTGTTGTCCTGCCACCATCATTCTGTCAAATACTGTCATTGTATTGTTGTACTGTCATGATCACACTGTCATATAGTGTCATTGTAATGTTGTACTGTCACCATAGTACTGTCAAATATTGTCATTGTACTGCTGTACTGTCACCATCGTACTGTCACATTTTGTCATTGTATTGAAGTCCTGTCACCATCGTACTGTCACATTTTGTCATTGTATTGTTGTACTCTCACCATAGTGTTGTCAAATATTGTCATTGTACTGCTGTACTGTCGCCATCGTACTATCACATTTTGTCATTGTATTGTTGTACTCTCACCATAGTACTGTCAAATAGTGTAATTGTATTGTTGTACTGTCACCATCGTACTGTCACATTTTGTCTTTGTATTGTTGTACTCTGACCATCGTACTGTCATATTTTGTCATTGCACCATTGTCCTGTCACCATCGTACTGTCACATATTGTCATTGTATTGTTTTACTGTCACCATCATACTGTCACATTTTGTCATTGTACTGTTGTACTGTCACCATCGTACTGTCACATTTTGTCATTGTATTGTTGTCCTGTCACTATAGTACTGACATATTTTGTCTTAGTATTGTTGTACTCTGACCATCGTACTGTCATATTTTGTCATTGCACTATTGTCCTGTCACCATCGTACTGTCACATATTTGTCATTGTATTTTTTACTGTCACCATCATGCTGTCACATTTTGTCATTGTACTGTTGTACTGTCACCATCGTACTGTCACATTTTGTCATTGTATTGTTGTCCTGTCACTATAGTACTGACACAATTTTGTCATTGTATTTTGTCCTGTCACTATAGTACTGTCACATTTTGTCTTTGTATTTGTTGTACTCTGACCATCGTACTGTCATATTTTGTCATTGCACTATTGTCCTGTCACCATCGTACTGTCACATATTGTATTGTATTGTTTTACTGTCACCATCATACTGTCACATTTTGTCATTGTACTGTTGTACTGTCACCATCGTACTTTCACATTTTGTCAAATTATTTTGTTTTACTGTCACCATCATACTGTCACATTTTGTCATTGTACTGTTGTACTGTCACCATCGTACTTTCACATTTTGTCATTGTATTGTTGTACTGTCACCATAGTATTGTCACATTTTGTCATTGTATTGTTGTACTGTCACCATCGTACTGTCACATTTTGTCATTGTATTGTTGTACTGTCACCATCGTACTGTCACATTTGTCATTGCACTGTTGTACTGTCACCATCCTTCTGTCACATTTTGTCATTGTATTGTTGTACTGTCACCATCGTTCTGTCACATTCTGTCATTGTTTTGTTTTACTGTCACCATCGTATTGTCACATTTTGTCATCGTATTGTTGTACTGTCACCACTGTTACGTCACATTCTGTCATTGTTTTGTTTTACTGTCACCATCGTACTGTAACATTTTGTCATTGTATTGCTGTACTGTCACCATCGTTATGTCACACTTTATCATTGCGCTGTTGTCCTGCCACCATCGTACTGTCATATTCTGTCATTGTTTTGTTGTACTGTCAACATCGTTCTGCCACATTTTATCATTGCACTGTTGTCCTGCCACCATCGTACTGTCACATTTTGTCATTGCACTGTTGTCCTGCCACCATCGTACTTTCACATTTTGTCATTGTACATTTGTACTGTCACCATCGTACTGTTACATTTTGTCATTGCACTGTTGTCCTTCCATCATTGTACTGTCACATTTTGTCATTGTACTGTTGTACTGTCACTATCGAACTGTCACATTTTGTCATTGTATTGTTGTACTGTCACCATTGTACTTTCACATTTTGTCATTGCACTGTTGTCCTGCCACCATCGTTCTGTCACATTTTGTCCATTGTACTGTTGTACTGTCACCATCGTACTGTTACATTTTGTCATTTCACTGTTGTCCTTCCTTCATTGTACTGTCACATTTTGTTATTGTACTGTTGTACTGTCACCATCGTACTGTTTAATTTTGTCATTTATTGTTTTACTGTCACCATTGTACTTTCACATTTTGTTATTGTACTGTTGTACTGTCACCATCGTACTGTCAAATATTGTCATTGTATTGTTGTACTGTCACCATCGTACTGTCACATTTTGTCATTGCACTGTTGTACTGTCACCATCGTACTGTCACATTTTGTCATTGTATTGTTGTACTGTCACCATCGTTCTGTCACATTTTATCATTGGCGCTGTTGTCCTGCCACATTCGTACTGTCAAATGTTGTCATTGCACTGTTGTCCTGCCACCATCGTACTTTCACATTTTGTCATTGTACTGTTGTACTGTCACCATCGTACTGTTACATTTTGTTCATTGCACTGTTGTCCTTCCTTCATTGTACTGTCACATTTTGTTATTGTACTGTCACCATCGTACTGTCAAATATTGTCATTGTATTGTTGTACTGTCACCATCGTACTGTCACATTTTGTCATTGCACTGTTGTACTGTCACCATCGTACTGTCACATTTTGTCATTGTATTGTTGTACTGTCACCATCGTTCAGGTCACATTTTATCATTGCGCTGTTGTCCTGCCACCAATCGTACTGTCAAATGTTGTCATTGCACTGTTGTCCTGCCACCATCGTACTTTCACATTTTGTCATTGTACTGTTGTACTGTCACCATCGTACTGTTACATTTTGTCATTGCACTGTTGTCCTTCCTTCATTGTACTGTCACATTTTGTTATTGTACTGTCACCATCGTACTGTTTAATTTTGTCATTGTATTGTTTTACTGTCACCATTGTACTTTCACATTTTGTCATTGTACTGTTGTACTGTCACCATCGTACTGTCAAATATTGTCATTGTATTGTTGTACTGTCACCATGTTACTGTCACATTTTGTCATTGTATTGTTGTCTTGTCACTATAGTACTGACATATTTTGTCATTGTAATGTTGTACTGTCACAATCGTACTGTCTCATTTTGTCATTGTACTGTTTTACCTCAGGTAAAATTTCGGTTATAAATTCAAATGGTAAAACTCTCGCCCATTTTCTAATAATGTGCATAACATAGTACCGGTATCACTAGCTATTTTTTTAATTTTTTATTACATTGACGCCCCCCCCCCCATGTCGGGGCAGCAACTGGTCGTGGATTTGGAGTGCATGGGTAACAAATACATTGCTAGTTATCAAAAGTGTCCGCTATCTTGAACCTACTTTGTGACAATGTCAGTGCTATCTTAGACATTGCTACATTCTATGTAGGTTACTAACAGATAAGCAGTCTAAGATATCGACGGGATCGTGATTTAGTGGGATGTTTCAAAATTGATTAGACAAGGTGTTAATACTATTATCAAATATATGTAAACTGTAATACCTATAACACAGCATTGAAATTTATGACTCCATGATAGTTTGTTGACTGGTACGGTGTCGTGATTTTTTTTGTCCTAACCCGCGATGCACGATGGTAACATTGCATTTCACCATCGTACCATCAAAATAAAAAATCAAGTTTGTCCAAACGAAACATCGAAGAATAGAATAGGGATTTAATCACAAGGTTCTCATGTTGATACAGATGTCAAAACAAACACGTTGTTAGAACAAGGATGTAAGATATATTTTTCATTTGTGAAATTTTATGTTGTCAATCGCAGTTTGCACATTTATCAGGACGACCTTTGTAAATAATTAGCAATCTGTTATTAATGCGGGAATTGTTGCGATAATTTTAGAAACCTTTCAACTTTGTTTGTTATTTCTACCTTAAAATATGTCATCACTTTCCATTAATTGCCAAAATGATGAAAAAAAACAAAACAATTTGAATATACACTCCAATTTGTAAGTATATTCATAGAATGTATGATGCAAAAGTGAATATTCAACCCTCCTACAGCAATACTTTTTCATCGACCCATTCTTTGCATGTCATATGGGGATACAATTTTATTTTAAGTTTTAACATTAAAAATGCTTCTTTTTGGAATAATATGGATATTTCTACTAGAAAACACATTGTGTTTTGTAAATTCAGATACTATAGGTAAGATTATTATTTAATAAAAACGATTTCCTCTTCTCGTATTTTCCATACCGGATAGACCTTTGACGTAAATTTTAAAATCTGTGACCAAGTTGTTAAGGTCATTAACTTCAAATCGGTTACCCTGTACCGATGTGGCTAAAACAAACCTTTCAGGGACTCACTCTAGAGTTTTTGTGTGTTTTTGAGTTTATTTATACTCGCCACCGGTTGCCCATATGGGCGAGTCCTTCAGAAGAGTGTTAGTCATTTTAGATTTTGGAGGATAGTGCAAGGTACAAATACAGAACGATGCCCCAATTCCAGAAGCTTCACCTGGTTCTTTAGCCTGACAATTTTTAAGCACTCATACACGGGACCTCGATTTAAAGTCTCATCTTAAAGACTGATTAGTAATTTTAGTTGGCCAGCCCGGGAATCGAACCCACTATGTCGAGATTTCAAGTCTCGCGCTCTTACCGATTGAGCAATGCGGGCTGGGCAAGTTTTTCATGTGATTATCAAGATATATATATACTGTCCACTGGTACTTGAAAAAATATCTGAAGTTTTCATCAACGCGAAAAGTTGATAAGTCGCCATATGGCAAAATCAAAAACAACGACGGGATTAAAAAATATGGAAAATTCGAAAACAGAAACAAACAATGGTGAACACTATAAACATATTTTATCTCTAAGACGTTAACTCGACATTCACAAAATTGAAGGCCAAATAGAGAAAATAATACATTTTATCACTCTGAATTTGGGCTAATGAACATTAACTCAAATATTATTTATATTTCTTGTACAAGTATAAATAAGTCTTTTAAATAAAAGGGAAATCTGAATAATTATTTTTTTTGTTTTAAAGCTGTAACAGATATCACACCACAATATTGCGCAGATACCTCGGAGGAGGATTGTTCTAAAATCGATTGTAGCTGGTCAGAGGCGAAGAAATTTTGTCCAAAGAAATGTGGAGAATGTCGTAAGTGTATTTCATATTTAAGAATTTAAGAATAAAATATACTTACATAGACAAAATTAAAGATAAGTACATGTATGTGTACAGTCTTGTTTGTATTCAATGGAATTACTTTCCTTACCAAGTAGGCATTAGTGAAAACATTTTTTAATTTGATATCTGGCCCCTCTCTCACGACAGTGTATACGATAAGTATAAGTTTGCAAAAATGATTTACAAAACATCCGGAATAATATACAATTGTACTTAATCTGAATATAACATGACCTGTGCGTAGGAATGATTTGGTAATGTATCTGTAATGAGCACATTTTTGCGCGGAGCTTCTCAATTGCTGCATTGCAGCAACATTTGTACTTGTATATAAAGACATAACATTAATATATTCACAATTACAAATCTAGTATAAAGTAGGTCTCAATGAATAAAACAATATCAAAATGTTTCAATGGAAACTTTATGAATTGTTAAGAGAAATACTGATCATTATATCATTTATTATAATACTGCACGTTTGTAACGTCGCTTTTCATCGGATAATCGTGACGTTTATATAGTTTTATATACACGGCTGTTGTCGATTCATGAAGAAATCTTACTTTTTTCTCTAAAAAATGATGTTTGCTGTATTATAAATTCGTTATTAAGATTGTTGACAGGTTATATGGCTGTATATAAACGGCTGTTTGCAATATAACCCTCGCCTAGCGGCTATGGTTATATTTACAAACAGCCGTTTATATACAGTCATATAACCTGTCAACAATCTTTATAGCTAATAACATAACTAGGAAAGTGTCATTTGTTAAACTTTACATTCTCAAAATGTTACCAACTTAACGTATACCAGGAACTTAGACAATTTGTTGGCTTACATGAAGACTTGTTTTATCAGTGCAATTTATTAGTTTAGTTTATCCATGTCTTAGTCATATACAGTACACAGTATACAATATATACTGTATATTATGGAACGCCGTGACTGTCTTATGCTATCAATGTTTTTGATATCTTGTGAAATGATGATATTATTTTGTAATTTAAGCATATTAACATGTGCAATTTACATCATATCTTGTCTAAAGACAATGCTGACTTGTTCAAACAGTATGTTAACTTGTCAAATAATCATTATGACATGTGCAGACAAAATGTTAACTTGTCAAAGTATCATGATGACTTGTGCAAACGACATGTTAACTTGTCAAAATATCATGATGACTTGTGCAAACGACATGTTAACTTGTCAAAATTTCATGATGACATGTGCAAACAGCATGTTAACTTGTCGAATTATCGTGATGACATGCTCATAATACCTTAACAAGTTAACATGTGTTTTGCACAAGTCATCACGGTTCTTTGACAAATTAACATGTTGTCTGCACAAGTCATCATGATAATTTGACAAGTTAACATGGCATTTGCACAAGTCATCATGATACATTGACAAGTTAGAATGGCATTTGCACAAGTCATCACGATACTTTGACAAGTTAACATTCTGTTTGCACATGTCATCATGAAATTTTGACAAGTTAACATATCGCTTTCACAAGTCACCATGATACTTGGACAAGTTAGCATGTTGCTTTTACATGTTATCACGATGATTTGACAAATTAACATACTGTTTGCACATGTCATCATGAAATTTTGACAAGTTAGCATGGCATTTGCACAAGTCATCATTATACTTGGACAAGTTAACATGTCGTTTGCACAAGTCATAATGATACTTGGACAAGTTAACATGCTGTATGCATATGTCACAACGATAATTCGATAAGTTAACATGCTGTTTACACATGTCATCATGGAATTTTGACATCTTAGCATGGCATTTGCACAAGTTATAATAATACTTTGACAAGTTAACAGTACGTTTTGACATGTCAGCATGATACAAAATAACATGTCATTTGCACAAGTCATCGCGATTCTTTGACAAGTTCACATGTTGTCTTCACAAGTTATCATGGTAATTTGACATGTTAACATGCTGTTTGCACAAGTCATCATGATACTTTGACAAGTTCACATGCTGTTTGCACATGTCATCATGATAATTCGACAAGTTAACATGTTGTTTGCACAAGTCATCATTATAATTTGACAAGTTAACATGGCGTTTGCACAAGTCATCATGACACTTTGACAAGTTAACATGCTGTTTGCACATGTCATCACAATAATTCGACAAGTTAACATGTCGTTTGCACAAGTCATCATTACATTTTGACAGGTTAACATGCTGTTTGCACATGTCATCACAATAATTCGACAAGTTACCATGTCATTTGCACAAGTCATCACGATACTTTGACAAGTTAGCATGTTGTCCCCACATGTCATCATAATAATTTGACAAGTTAACATGCTGTTTGTACAAGTCAGCATGTTCCTTAGACAAGACATGATGTAATTGCACATGTTAACATGCTCAAACGACAAAATAATATCATTGTCTCACAAGATAACAAAAACATTGATAACATAAGACAGTCACGGCGTTCCATAGTATATGATCATTCTTTGAAATCTTGACGTGACTATGGATAGCTTATTATTTTTATACCTGTATATGAATATTCTTTGTTTATATAAAGGTATTTGTGAGGATACAAAGAAAGACTGCACGTTTTTGAAAGAAAATAATTTATGTAGATCCCACCAATTTCTACAGATAGCAGCCGATACCTGTCCAGGAAGCTGTAACTTTTGTAAGTATCATATATTATATTAAAGCATTTTTATTCACATCAATAACATGAGATATACGACTCCATGCAAACAAATACCCGCTGATTAACGGATTAAATGAAGCTCTAACATGATAGTTCTCTTCAAATAATAAGTAACGAATGTATTTCATTTCTAATTTTATCACTCCAAACAACACCAGTTAAATGCGACGACAGCAGTACTACTATATACATGTACATTCAGTGTCTGTATAAATAGACGGTCAGTATGAGTATCAGGATCATGCTAACAAAGTTTTGGCCATATAAGATGTTTAAGTTGACATGTATTCGAAATTAGAATAACGTTGTCTATAGTCCACAATTTTTTAAAGATAAAAACGACAACATATTGTCTGCAAACACAGACAACTTAAAAAATAGTTAAACAAAACATTTTGTGAGGTTCTTATGTGAAAAGTTAAGTTCATTTAAAATATAAAATAATTAATGGTTATTTCTAGTGAACCGCATGTAAATGGAATGCCATATTCTGTGTTGCATATATCATCATATTTTATAGATTACTCATGAAAAGGTCGTATCAGATCCGAATTGCAAATTATGAAAAAGTTGTCCAAACCATGCATAATTAACAATACATGCAATTTGCATTGCATTTAAAAAAATGAGCTGAGTTTCGGAGTTACTTATGTATTAGCTTGAGGTCCCAAAATAGGAATTGCTATACCACGTGACATTTTGTGTTCTGCGTGTATAAAACCTTTTCTTTCATATTTTTAATAGGATAAAGTGTAGAGTCTGTCCCTTCTAGAGAAAAATCTCGAAGTCCAACCTACGCTAAGAAACTAAACAAATAGTAATTTAATGCTAGGAGTTGATGACAAAATTTACACCAATATATCAAGCAAAAGTCCACCTAAATTTAGTGCATTTATCAATATAAAAGTAAACAATACATTATTTATATTACTTATTATTATGGTTGTAGAAACTGAAAATACAAAATCGGATTTGGTTATAATTGGGCATTTTTCAATTAATTATGGTTGTCAGACCCGAGATGTTCCGAATGATTTAATTGTTCATTGAAATGATAAAAAATGGCGGAAAGATCTAATCGCCAGGATGACACCACCCTTTGAGTGCAAAGGGAAATTTAAACACAAATGATGAATTCATTTTGAAATCAACCAAGTTTTTAATGAACTAACTTTTATTTACACTTATCTTAAAAGTTTCTTATAGCTTAACAAGTTTACAATGTTCTGCTGCTGACTCTCAATATCCAGGTTACCTGAAATGTTTGCCACGCTTCTTGTACTTTGTATTTGTGAATTTCCAGCATTGGCTGTTGTATGTGTTTCATTAGTAGTCTGATTACAAAACATTTTCTTAAATGCGCTTTTAAAATTACCGTTACTGTATGCATATAGGAACGGGTTTATGGCGGAATTAGCATGACTCAGCACTATCGTTGCTAGTAAAAGTTCTACTGGGCTAGAACAATTTGTGCACATCAACGTTATAGTATTGAGAACATGTATTGGAATCCAAGAGATTGCAAATAATAAAATAACAATAGCAAGTGATTTTGCGGCTTGAATTTCTTTTTTAAATTTTGTTAAACTACTTGACGTGCTGTATTGCGGCGATGGGATAGTCAGAGCTGTAATCCTAGACATGTGCTGCCGCACAATTATGAAAATATAACAATATATAGCAATTATAATAATCAAAGGTATCACAATACATCCAAAGAAATGGAAATACACTGTATATTCCATGTCTATAACAGTTTCAAAATTACAAGTCCAATTTTCGTTACGTTTGTCCTCAAGATTCCATCCGAACAATGGTATTAATCCGATAACCATACCTAGAAACCATACTCCAGCATTTACCAGCAAAGAAAGCTTAATATCTAGATGCTTCGTGTATGCAAACGGATGTTTGATCGCAAAATATCTCTCAAATGCCACGGCTAACAAGTTGAAAATAGACACTTGTGTGAATGCAACAATAATCGAATTTGTAAAAACACAGCCAGAAAAATTATGAGGTAGTCCTAAATAGCTTAAAGCTGCCAATGGAGCGACGACGACCCCAACTAAAAAATCTGCCAACGCCAAGCTACCAATGAAACAGTTTGTAACTGTCTGCAGTCTGCGATGTTTTAAAATAGCTAATAGAACCAATCCATTTCCGCCGCACGAGGCCACGCCAATAATCACTTCCGCACTGATATAAACAATACTGATTGTATCCATATAAATATGTCAGCAATGTCTTCACTTTTCACAATTTTCACTAGAACTGATCGATATTGAAGGAATTTGTGTGCATCCAATAACTTAATTTTGATGATATACAAACGTTAACTAGATTAAATTATTTTATTACGATATATATATCACTGTTACACTTACAGTTTACTATAGTATATTTTTCTATGTCATCCGTCAATCAACCAGAAGGCTTCAGGCAATTCAAATAAATACTAGTTTACTTCCTGTCTTTTTAGCTCTGAAATATAATTATATTTGACGTTGTAATAGTGCTATATTATAAGACAATGTATTCTGAAGTATTTATTTATGTATCTAAATAAATGTACTAGAATTCCGATGATTGCTTATAGACCATATTCATAAAATTATTAGATATCTACGGTGGCATAGAGGTGACATTTGCAGTTTTATTTTATCTCGTGGCCACGACTTATTATCTTGAGGCCTCAAGATATTATCTCGTGGCCACGACTTATTATCTCGTGGCCACGACTTATTATCTTGTGGCCTCAAGATATTATCTCGTGGCCACGAGTTATTATCTTGTGGCCACGACTTATTATCTCGTGGCCTCAAGATATTATCTCGTGGCCACGACTTATTATCTCGTGGCCACGAGTTATTATCTTGTGGCCTCAAGATGTTATCTCGTGGCCACGACTTATTATCTCGTGGCCACGAGTTATTATCTTGTGGCCTCAAGATATTATCTTGTGGCCTCAAGATATTATCTCGTGGCCACGAGTTATTATCTTGTGGCCACGACTTATTATATTGAGGCCACGACTTATTTTCTCGTGGCCACGAGTTATTATCTTGTGGCCACGACTTATTTTAGCCAATGAAAATGGTCGTTTCATCTTGAACAAAATTTAATATCACACTGGCAATAGCAGTCACAGGAGGGGCGTGTCAATCACCACCATATATTTACTTAAGTTCACGCATTTTCCCAGAGACGTGCTGAATTTCAGTAAGGCTTATCAGTTAGTATATCACTATAAACTGTATTGACCACATTAACACGTCCACTGAGTAGAGTCTTGTCATCACTAATTGGCCCTCTGTATTCTTATCTTATGGTCCTAACGTTTAAGGATCAAGTTTCTATAGATGCAGTTTTTCATAAAATACACTCACTTTTATAAGTGGTCATCACCAGTAGGAAGTTAGCAGTAGTATTGAGCAGTAGCAGTAACAAAATTATAAAACATGAAGTTGGCAGTAGCAGTAGCACAGAAGTAGCAGTGACAAAATTATAAAACGTGAAATTGGCAGTAGCAATAGCACAGCATAAGCAGTACCAATCAAAGAGGAGATCTTAAAAGAATTGACATATGTCTTTGAAACTTGTATACTAGTATGTCAGTTTTTATAATAAAGAAAAAGATTCAGATAACCCGTCAAAGATACTCATTTATCATTGTGATATTGTAGTATATCTTCAATAATAACTATCTAGATACAAGTCTTTAATGGGATTCGAATCCACAGGGAAAAGGGGCAATTTTTTTCCATGAACGACCTTAAAAGTATACATCAACCGCATATATTTCTTAATTAAATCTCAATTAAATTAGATATACCGTGCTCATCATTGAAAATTAAAATCACAGATTTTTTTTAATCTATGGTATTCTAACTTAATGCGTCTAACTTGAATAAAGAAATCAATAAACTATGTACAGGAAGCTGCGTTCCTTATAACAGGTCAGGTAATCTTTACTTAAAAAACTGACAATATATATATTCATGGTGAACACCTATACTGTGTAGAATTTTAAACATAACATATCTACTATCTTTGAAGTCAAAACATGTTCATTATATGTTTACATGTACAAAGGGACAATGTAACAATTATCAATATTTTCTAATACTAAATTTAAGCAAAGTATATCTTTAAAGAAGAATGAAAGAAACACCTGATCATACAAAACAAGAAGAATAATAATTATAAAACGTTCCCTTTCTTCACCCGCCGCTCTTGTGAAACTGTGGCCAGTGTGATATAAGGTCTTATTGATATTAACTTTTGTTCAAGATGAAACGACCATTTTCATTGGCTGAAATAAGTCGTGGCCACAAGATAATAACTCGTGGCCTCAATATAATAAGTCGTGGCCACAAGATAATAACTCGTGGCCACGAGATAATATCTTGAGGCCACAAGATAATATCTTGAGGCCACAAGATAATAACTCGTGGCCACGAGATAATAAGTCGTGGCCACGAGATAATATCTTGAGGCCACAAGATAATAACTCGTGGCCACGAGATAATAACTCGTGGCCACAAGATAATAAGTCGTGGCCACGAGATAATATCTTGAGGCCACGAGATAATAAGTCGTGGCCACGAGATAATATCTTGAGGCCTCAAGATAATAAGTCTACGAGATAAAATAAAACTGCAAATGTCACCTCTATGCCACCGTAGATATCTAATCATGGACCTCATTTTAATAAAGCCTAAATAGTATATTGATAATTTAATCAGGTAGATGTAACCGGTAACCAAAAAGGATACAATATTTTTTCTTTAATCTTTCATTGAACAATACATAAAACTTAAGCATATACATTGCACATAGCCATACTAAAATATAATTGTTAGAGACTACTAAGCGTTATTTACGGACTTTTATCTCATTTTTTTTCAATAAAGGTTAGATATTTCTAGTTAACACTGCAGTCATTTATATTACATTACCAGGGGCAACTGATGTTAGTTTGTGTAATCCATTACTTTGTTAACAAAATATAATACTATAAAAACAAAATATAATTGTATGTTTTCTTTGTAAATTTGTTTTCCATGATCAATAAAACATGTCACAAAGTTTTGAAAGCGTTTGCTTCTATAAAATCGTTTACACCCGGTCAAATACCGTAAAAATGATTCTTTTGCAGTGTATTTACGGTTGGCAAGTTGTAAAGCTTGGATGTAAACATGCAAAAAACTGTATTTATAAGTAAATAGTGTGACAACTGTTTATTATATATATATAAATATACGTCATATGTAGATAGGCTTCTGATAAAAGTATAAAAGACATTATTATGAAAACATGTTGCTTGCCATGACCTTAAATCATGCGCAATTCGTCTTGACTCATAATAATCCCAAAACAAGTGACATTTATAATTGATATACATCGGGGATACAATTTAAAGCTGTGTTTAATGAAGCTGTTTGACACGATGGTACTGGAAATAATTTTTCGACATTAATGTTTCTTTTGGTGTAGGTAAAGACCGATAAAAAACGTGTTTGCGAAATTTCAGATCGTTCCTTCACTCCGTTTTTCCAGAAAATTATTCTAATTTAAGATGAAAAACGTTCCAACGCTTTTCACTCAAATCGGGCTGAGAACACAGTACAAAATATGCTTGATCTAAGTAAGAAATTCAACTTAATGAAATTAGGCTTTTGGATCTTATATGAGCTCTTCCTACCACCCACCTCGCCTGCTTAAATCAAAATGCTTCCATCAAATCAAGGAAAGTTGACATCTACTCTAATATTGTTCTTTAAATTACTAATAAACAATAACGACTGAGAAAGATGGATCTATACAGATTGTACAAAATGCAGAGAAGGTAAAAATCTAGCTAATGATGCAAAATTTCAGAACAGAATTCGTGAACTGCTTGAGAATCATTATAGATACTTTAAAATTGCATATCCCTCTTGAAGATATAACAATCTTACCTCATTACGTCATGTCGATCACTATTCCGACACAAGAAAATTTCCGCGTTTACAGTTTTTAATCTAATTCTGTCTCTAATTGGGGAAATTAAAATAAAAAAAAAATTAAGAGAAATCTTTGTCAAGAGAAATCTCACTCTCTCCTAACGAATTTAACACGATTAATAATAGCTATGAAATAATCGAGTGTACTTCAAACAAGTAAGAATCTGTTGTTAGGTTGTCATCTGCGTATCCGTGGAACAAGTATTGGTGATTGTTATACTTTAAATATCCATTTCATTTATCTATAAATTATAGCGTTTAGTTCACATTATCTGTTGTAAGATAAATACGTTTTTTTCAATAGACAAACAGAAGAGACAATATGAACGACGCTACAACACACGATCATTATTGATATGTCTGAAAACCCCCTGTAATGACTGCCCGAATATGAAAGTTCTTTGGCAAATTATTTTGCAAAAAAATCATATACCTGTATTTCTTAGAAAATATCGACTTTCGCATTATTTGTTGTAAGAATAATGAATTTTAGATACATGTATCTAGTTAGAACAAGAACAGCGCATGTCATTACAATATGACGCATATCTCACAACAGAAAGGAGTGTTTGAGTCATGTTACATAAACTACGTCCATAACTGTTGCCTCCTTCAATAAAAGAAATCAGAAATGCCTCATTTTATAGAAAAATCAAAACAGTTTATTAATTAAAGGATTGCTTTGCCTATTACACTTCATATTGATATTTCTTGTAACTTAAATAAACTATAGTTGGTATTATATGCATATTGTGTCTTTCGCTTTCTGTAAATCACCACATGATATAACATTTTTTACAGCAAAATGTGTAATCTTTATTTTTTCCCGGCCAAAGGCCGAACTGTTTTCGTGAAATTTACAGGGAAGAACTTAAAAGAAGAAGAGTTTTTATTGGTCATTTTAAAAATACAAAATGAAATCCGGGAATCTCATTGGCCATTCTAAAATAAAATTTAAAAGGATAGTTCGTGTCATTCTAAGATACATGTGGTTCTAAACTAAAATATAAAGGATAATTCTTGACATTATAAAATAAGATGCAAAGGATAGTTATAAGATAAATGTACATGATAGTTCTTTAACTTTTTAGTTACATTGCTCAGATATTTAAGTTCTGTTCAACAATACTTCTTGCATTCAGATCTCATTACATTTTCAGTGATCAGTTTATTTTACGTATGAACTTACTGAGTTTATTTTATACAACATCTGAAATTTAAATTTTGTTCAAAAATAACGAGAATAATATCAGAACTTATCAGGTACCCTTAGTTTATGCTGTTCAATAATGTCTAATATATTATATGATTATTGGTGTGTTCAATTGATATAATATTTATATTTTTTATATATTTTTGCATATAAATCAAGTAGATCTTCTATTTATAAAAATAATTGCTTTACCGACAGCGTAGATAATGTTGTTTGAAATTGCCGAGTATCTTTTTTAAAGATTCTTCTTGTTTATTTATTTATTTGTTTAAACAACCGCAGAATTATGACGAGAAAAAATGAAGAAGAAAAAACAATATCTTCTATAGGACGGCGGTTGTCTTTACACCAACAATCTCTGCCCTATTCCGTGTCACCTATATGTGAAGAACAATGTAACTAAATAGATTAAAATGTGCGTATTACAACATTATCGTAAGACGTTGTGCACTATTGACGTAAATAAAGAAATATATAGAGGATATTTGTTTGTTTGTGTGTAAGATGAAATTTTATTTCATCGAGTGGGCTTTAAAAACAGTATTCTCACGAGTGGCGTAGCCACGAGTGAGAATACTGTTTTTAAAGTTCACGAGATGAAATAAAATTACATCTTACACAACAAACAGACAAATTTTCTTTTTATTTTATGCTTAAAAACAAGTTAAAACGAAATTTCCATAATTTTAACGTTAATATTAAAATCTGTTTCCCCCGTTGAGAGCCCCATTTAGATGGAATTTCTCATTTAAAACAAGAAGTCTTGAGCTGAAAAATAAGTCCGCTAATCAAGGTTAAATGACGGTGATATTTATTCATTTTATTAAAAAAATATGATTGATCGCTTGTTTTAATAATAAAAACAATTCTTGTAGGAGAAAAAGTCCAACCATCCATCCATATTTCTGTTACTTACTGCGAATTTATATTAGACCTGGCTTTGTAAAATGTAAGCGGCAGCCATTTTTTAAAGTTGTGTATTTCATGGTAGGAAAATAATTGTGTAAGATTCAGAAGGATATAATTTGGATTTGTTAGTCATACACCTTTTTAAAAGAAAGAAAACTTATTTGAGGATTGTAACTGACAAAAAATAAGTGTTGACAGAGGTGAAAACATTCAGAAAAGGAGCTAGGAACTTGGAAGCTTGCTAAGGAACGCTGGGTTCACTGGGGTTGTTTTACTTATTTTACGAGTGATGGCTGTCAATGCTTTTCAATTTTTCATAAAGCATACGGCAGTTATTGATTGTAGGATACTTAAATATGCCCAAATGTCATCAAGAGCAGTTTTGCATGGGGAAGGAATGTATTTTGCAGACTGTAAAAACGAAACAAAAAAATTTAGAGACGAAATTTGTTGATTGGAATTTGAAGGAATTGAAGTAAGTTTTCTCTCTTTATTACTTTTGACATTTAAGTTATTTATCTATTTCAGCTTTGCTATTTCTTTTAACAGCCTGACATTGTCAGAATTGTCAGTAAAAATAAAATTGAGGTACCACATGGGGAAAATCTTAAAAAAGTAGTTTCGTCATTGAAAAAAGTGAAATTATATTTTGATAATTTTCACTGTGAAATTATCAAATATAATTTTCACGGATAAATCAGTAATCCACTGAAAAGCATAAAATAAAATAAAATAATAAAATAAAATGAAACGATGATATTTTTTGTATCAGCTTTCTTAGACAGTAGTTTTATCCGCGGTTTACCGGTTATGTAGGAAGACGATGCTTATGTTCGTACTGTAAAGATGAAACATACATTCACATCATTCAGATACACAGAACACACAGGAACAGGAACAACGGACAAATGGATACTGGAAATCCAAGAGAGGGCATAAAAACTTTGGATCTCTGTGTGTAATATATGTTGTAGGAACAACTGTTGACTGTAGATACCTTGAATGGTAGGAAAAAACAGACAGACACATATGTTAATTGATCAATTCATTACATAGATATAGCATATTTATTAATTTATGTTTCAAATACAATTTAGAACAGTGTAAATGCGATGGTTTATCAGTTAAATCATCAAATACGCCCGATAATGAAATCAACAGTAATTCATGTTACGAATGTAATATTGAACAGCGTAAATAAGATTACTTTTACGGTAAATTAAATAAAATACGTCTGAGTATTATAATATCATTGACAACAATTATAACTCGGATCCTCTGCCTTCATTAGAGTGTAACCTTAAGTCAAACAAAATCACAAAAAAATACTACTAGGTATTAATTTTCTAATATTTTCTTTATAATACGAGTAGATTTAAACTATACTCAACAAAAATAGAAACCTGGCACATTGTTTCTTTTAAATATTTTCTAATCTGTGATTTAAATCAAAACATGTGTAGTGAGTATTCGTGTACTATAGATACACTATACATGTTTTTTGTTTTGACCGCGTATTGTCGGTAGAATGCAGCTAAGCGTAAAATTTTAGTTTTTGCACGTGAACCCCGTGCATGCTGAACGATGTCAGATAGACAGTGATGTAAGGCACTATACATGTGTTCAGTAACAATTTAGTGTTATTCACACCTAAAGTTGATAGCTTTCACAATGCCACGTTTATCAGAAGCAGAGAGAAATCAAGCAATAGGAATGCTGCTGGGTGGGGCATCTGTTGTTGACGTGAGTAGAACGTTTAACTGCAGTCGCAACACAGTTCATGAACTTGTAAGACGCTATAGACTTACAGGTGATGTGCACGATCGTCCAAGGCCAGGTAGGCCAAGGGCAACTACCCAAAGGGACGACCGTGCAATTGTTTTAACTCACTTACGTGACAGGTTCAGACCGGCGACCTTGACCGCGCCCGCGTTTAACGTAACTGCACAAACCATTCGCAATCGGTTGCGCGCACAACAACGCCCGATTAGAGCGCGACGCCCATATACAGGCGGTATTCTCACTTTACGCCATCGTCAGGCCCGTATTAGGTGGGCACGTGCGCACCGTCACTGGCGGCGACGTGACTGGAATACTGTCCTGTTTTCAGACGAGTCTCGTTACAATCTCAGTCATGCCGACGGCCGTGTAAGAATTTACCGTCGAAAGGGCGAAAGGTTTGCACCTGTTTGTGTATGCAGCATGATCGTTTCAGTGGTAGAAGCGTCATGGTATGGGGTGGGATAATGGGTGGACAAAAGACCCGGCTTATTATTATTATACACTGCAACTACAACGCCCAGAGATACATCAACGAAGTCTTGAATGCCGAGGCTATTCCGTTTATGCAAAGAAATGGTCCCGTTGTGTTTTAACAACACCCGTCCTCACACTGTGAGGATAACTCACGCTCGTTTAGCTGCAGCCAACGTCAATACCATGCAATGGCCAGCAATATCTCCAGATATGAATCCGATAGAGCATATCTGGGATGTGTTTGGCAGAAATGTCAGAAGACATCATGCCCCACAGAATATCCTCCAACTGACAAATGCATTGATAGCGGAATGGAACAATCTTCCAAATAACCTTGTTGAACGTTTCGTCAATTTTATGCATCGACGCGTTGACGCACTGCTTAGAGCCAGAGGTCGCCGTAACCGATATTGAAATAAATGAAAAAAATCGCATGCATTTTAAAACTGTTAATGAAATGATTAAAACCTATCTGCACGTAGTCAAAACGTTATAGCCACAAAATTGATAAATTGAATTTGACACTTTCCTTAGAACTAGCGTAATTTAACAAACTTAAACATAATTAATAAACAACAAAATGCATATCAATGTTATGCATGCATCTCTTTTTCATGCTTCCGTCATCGATTTCATGAAAATAATAACAAAATATACACTGTCAGGTTTCTATTTTTAGTGTATATTCTGCATTAAATAACGAAAAAAAAGTTCTCTGTTAAAACGTATATCGTTCTTTGTATCAGCTGAAATGATAGAAACGTCTTACAGGGCCTATTCTTACCTTGTTTTGATAATTATTGTATTATAATGTATATGGAATAACAGAAATTAATTTGAAAAGACGCATGAATTGCAAAAACGCACGCGAAAGAAGATGTGTGACCTGCTTATAAATACGACCTTTAAATGAAAATAATTAAAATATCTTCATTTAGAATTTTATTTAGAGTCGGTTTTGTATGCATGTATATATATTTTTTTTATCTTAACAATTATAAACGTTTCGGTCGCTAAGGCCGCCATCGCTTATTAGCCTATTGATAACGATACTCAAATGTCGTATGTTTTGTGACTTATTTCTCCAAATGTTAGTGTGGTTATTTCGAATCAAAATTCTTGCAAAGTCAAGTTTTTTATCCTTGATTGAAAAACTTTAAAAACATTTGCATATAATATTTGTACAATCAGTACTTAACATGGCCAGAAGTTTCTTAACAGAGTCCTTTAGATGTATGTTTTAAATGTTACCCAAATATCATTGGGAGGTATAAAAATCAGAAATACAATCACCATCTACTCGATGTACGTGTGTAGTACTGCCGTTGTCGCATCTATAACTGTTGTTTTCTTTTCCGAGTGTGTTGATAAAGACAATGCGTGATAATCGGGATCGATTTAAGAATTCCTATTGACAAACAAATACATTGTATTACCAAATCCGAAACATCTTCGACAGACGGGTATTTTTGTTTATTATACCTCATATGGCGTTATCTCGACCCCAAGGGCGGGTAATCTATACAGATGTTCTTGTTATAGTTCTTTCCAATGACCGCCAAATGTTTTACAATATTAAAGCTCCATGCTATAATCAAAGCACAGAAGGCGCTGAATTTGTTTAGGTCTCAGAATGTCAGAAAGGTGAAGGTTGTGAGATATAAACCAATTTGTTTTTGTATAGGCCGCCAACGTTGTTTCCAGTGTTATAACTGTAGTAAATTAGGTATAACGCTTATTGCATCACTGATATTCAATTAATTCAATGTTTTTTGGCTGAAAGAATTAAAAAATAAAGAAACATGAGTTGCCTTAACTGGGATTTCATCCCCAGACCTTTTGCTTCCTACACGAGCGTGTAACTCCAGGACCAAGGGGAAGTTATAAGAAAATGACTTGAAGTACACCATATTATTCTTAATAAGGGTTTGTAATCCTTATTAAGTTCGAGATATTTTGTTCACTGTAAACCTGTTGTTTAACACTGATGTAAATAATCATGGAGCTCAATATAAGCATGTACATCTGTAAAGAATGACACAATATTAGAAATCTTCGACCAATCGGGAACTATTTTTTCTTCCCAGAGAAGGCTTGGAAATCAATGCGCCTGTCATTTGACAATCTTTACGCAGTGATCTCCCCTTATTTTTTCGGCGTTAGTGTACTTATAAAGGGAAGTAACCGCTTCGAGGAGTTCGGACTACTTTCGCATTTTGCAAATAAGCATATCAGCTTTTCACAACCATTATTTGTTTGGTCTGACGACCCAAACAAATGACCAATTGGTTAGTTTATTTTATAGTGAAATAATGTTTGTTTCCCAAACTTTGACTAAAACTAAGATATTTGCATATGAACATTGACCTACAAATGTTAAAGTGATAATCTGTTTATAAATTATAGCAGAGAACGGTTTTCAGGAAAAGCTAAAATATCGCCTGCCTACTGTGCAAGTAGGGTTTTGAATTTATTTATCTGAGATTAAGCAAAAAAGCACGAAAAGTGTGATTTGTTGTTAACCCATTACTTCATTAGCATTTTGTGAAAAATTGCTGTTTTTCATTGAAAAGTCTCCCTTACAAGTTCAAATTGCTATAAAACTATAAAAACTTCTTCAATACTAATCGAACTTGGCACACATGTTGACTCGACCATTGCCTTTGTAACAACATGCTCAGTCTTAAATTTCCTGTTACCATGGCAACGAGGGGACATCTCAAAATTGCCCAAAATCACTATTTTGCATTGATTTTTTCCATCAAAATTGATTTCAAAGTGCTGCAACTTCTCAATGGATTCAGATAGAGTCAAAGGCTTTTCAGTGTTGGTTACACGTTACCTTATGATCGACCTGGGGTCATTTTTAGCCTCTCACAAGTCCAAAATTTTCTTGGCGATGAGGGGGACTACCGCCCCCTTCACCCCCCCCCCAACAGAAGGGGGCACATCCCCCTTCTGGCAACCCCCTGATGTACCTTTTGGATGGGGGCGGCGCCGAAAAAGTGCTCACTTTTTTATCAACATTTCTCAAACGAAAACATGTGTTTGGAGCCCAAACAGGACATTTTTTCACCATCTGAGGCCTAAAAGAGGGCGGTCAAAAGTGCGTTGTTTCACGTATATATGAGGTAAAGGGTTAAGTCCTCGTTATAAGGACATTTTGTTTATCTATCAGTTCATTATGAGAGCGGCACAGCACCGGGTGAATGTAATCGACAGTGCAAATGTAAATAAACATCTAAATGCACACCTAATTATAAATAGAGTTTTTTTTTTTTGTTTTTTTTTTGGGGGGGGGGAGGGTGGGGGGGGGGGGAGACCGATATAAAAGTATTTCTTATGAAAGTCAAAGTTGAAAAATTGCACAAATTGCTTTTTTCGTAACTTTAATTACGGTTGTAATCCAATGAATCATTTTTAAATGCCTTGGACGATTTTTTTTTTTTTTGGTTTATTTATCGTACATAATAACTTTAATATGTTGGTTCGGTATAATAAAAAATAACACATGTCTCTCATGGTTATAGTGCACATTAGCAACCCTTGAACTAAAATAACACCCTCTCCGACTACTGAAGGCTCCCAAAGTCAGCAACATGTACGCTAGTTCTCGCTTCCAAAACTTTAAACAATTTTTCTTACGTCTGATGCGTCATAGTATATCAACGGATAAGCTGAAGACCTTAAGCTACATGTACGCTGCAAGATAATGTATTGGTTCTTTTATTCAAATAATGATAACAGTAAAAAACTGAGCGGTAGGTATTAAAAAATCAACTCCAATGGCTTAAAAATATACAATATCGCTAGGTTTGTGACGTCACATCAAAATATGTGCACGGCCGTGCACTGCCATTTTTAAGGAGTTGCAAAAGCGGCACGGGTATGCGATAACTTAGATAACTATTACAAATATTTGTTTTCTTTCCCTCCTTTCCCAATTTGAAAGCATGTTATTCTTCTTTAATTACACTTTCAGGTGTTCCGTGCATCGATACACAAGACCCGCAAATATGCCTCGGACTATCGAGATACTGTAACAACCAAATTAACGTTGCGGATGCATGTAAAAAAACATGTAACAAATGCAGTAAGCGTTTTTAAATCCTTACAAAATATACGCAAAATTTATTAGTTACTAAATAACACATTGATCTAGCTTTCTTAACTTTACGGACACTTATATCTATAGACGTCACATTATCATGCCACTCACCACGCACAGGCAATCGGTATAGTATATATATGGATGAAATTTTTAAAAACAAATTTTCTTTGTTGATTTATTGAAAATAAGATATTTTAAAAACATTTTGAATAAAAAAAATATTTTATTAGAGGAAAAAAAAAATTTATAAAAAATAAGTGGGCGTGGTCATGTACATGTATATTATCCAAGCCACGCACCGATTGCCTTTGTCACACGTAGCCATACTAGTCTGGTTCCCGGTCGTACTTTGCTACGTAAAAGTAACGATAGTGATAAGGGGCAGATAATCCAGACTACCAAAATACTACATCGGACCGACATCAAATCGATGTACTTTTCTATATCGGCCCAACTCGCCAACTTCACGCCGCCAGCTGCTGGCCGCCAACTTCACGCCGCCAGGCCGCTGGGCCGCCAACTTCACACATCTCCCAATGTTTGTAATTTTGAATAATTATCGGTACGACTTTCAAAGATAAATGAATAAAAGAAGGAAGCCTACTTTTAAATTTTGATATATTGTATATTTCCAGAAGCATACAATATGACAGAAATCATTGAAAAGTTTGGAGGTAACCAAATACAAACAACTAGCATGAAAAATTTATCAGCATCAACAACGACGTCATCAACAACGACGTCATCAACAACGTTTTCAACAGCGTCAAGCTCAACAGCCACAGGTAATTCGTATATCCTTCTCTTCAATGTAAAATAGTCCGAACATGTACCCGAGAGAATAACCAGTAACAAAATTTAAACAATATTTAGTCTTAAAAAATAACTAAATTATTCAAGTACAAAAAATAATTCAAACAAAAAAATTTAAAAAATGTTTTACAGATTATATTCCAATTTTAGCCCTTGTATCAAGAGACTGTGATAAGTTTGGTGTCATAAGTAGTGTAGCAAAAGGGAATTCGGTGTCCTACACTGGTACCTCTACCTGTCCTGACGGTGTTCACCAGCCAAGCGAGGCACTCGTACAAAAGTACTGCGGCGCTCCTAATACTTCAAGCTGGATTGACGGGGATAAGGTATTTTATTTAGAAATCATCCATGTTAAGGCAAATTTATCTATATTTATTTTCTTTCTGTTATACGGTGTTTATCTATTATGTTGTTTCTTTCTGTATGCTGTTTGTTTCTTTCCATTATATGGAAACTTTTAATTATTTTGTTTATCTTTGTTATATGGCGTTTAGCTGTTGTGTTTTTATCTTTCTGTACTATAAATGGTGTCTATTTATATGTTGTTTCTTGCTGTTATATGGAGTTTATCTATTTAACTGTTTCTTTTTGTTATATGGAGTTTATCTATTTTGTTGGTTCTTTCTACTCTTTGTCATTTATCGATTATGTTGTTTCTTTCTAATTTATGGCGTTTATTTATATCTTTGTTTTTCCTTCTGTCATTTAGAGTTTATCGATTATGTTGTTTCTTTCTATTGTATGGGATTTATCTATTATGTTATTATTTTCTGTTATGTAGCTTTTGACGATTATGTTCTTCCTTTCTGCTTCATTGACTAAATTTTTGGAACATTATAATGTTCATTGACTTATTTTTCTTCATAAATTTATATCAGATTTATTGACAATATTCATCGTAAAGAGTCTTTCTGCTGTTTGGAGTAAATTTATTATATTATACATTTAAATATGATTTACAATATACAGTCTAACCATATAGAAATACAGATAAATATTGAATACACTAGGTGGTCAAGAACTGTCAGAATGTTCCTCACTATACGGCGATAGCTGCTGTGACATTTGGAGGTCCTTCTGTAGCTGGAGTTTTCATAAAGTGCGAGTCCGGTGGATTCCAGGTAAATGTAGCAGATCTGTAAAATAACTCTGTACAAATACTTCATTGTTTTTCTTTCTTTCCTATACATGATGCCTATATCTTGTGTATGCATTATTTGATTTAAAATAAATTTGTCTACAATAAGCTAAACAATATACGCCCAATGGCAAATTTTAAAGAAGTGCCTTAATTAACAAATTAATTGTTGTTAATTGATCAGATGATGATTTTTCCATCAACTGTAAAAGAAAAAACATACAGTCTAATTTTTTAAGTTCCTGTATTTGGATATGCAAAATACAAACACATTGATGTTTAATTTAAACATATTTTTTTCTCCTTTCATTTTTTTTACAAGATGTACAATTCAAATATATAGAAAAAAGTAGAAAAATACATTTTGAAAGAAAAAGGGTTCGACCACTTATTACATTACACATTACTCATTCAGGGTAGTCCTTTTAAAGTAATTGTGTGGAAACCAATATTTTTTACAATGTGCTGAAACTAGAACTCCACGAGTCGGATGTGTCGCCTTGTGAACAATATAATTTAGGAGAAATGGCCAGGACAAAAATTAAATATGAAAATTAACAAAGGGCAATAACTCAAACAAGAGTGATCAGTGATCACATGTGTCGCCTCATGATGGCCAATTTCAGGTTGGGACAAGTTTTGTGACAGACGGACAGACAGACAGACAGACAGTGCACAACTAGACTTGGTATTGATCATTCCTCTAAAGTTTGGATAAAATTGCACCAGTAGTTTATGAGGAGTAGTCCGGACAAGCTTTTGTGTATCTGGCAACACACAAAAAAACACCTTTTTATCAAAGGGCCATAACTCGGCCAAAAATCATTCAACCGGAAAATCCCTGCAATATGCGCAAGGACTTGAGCTACAAAACAATCCTGTAAAGTTTCATTGAAATTGCATAAGTGGTATAAGAGAAGTAGTCCGGACAAACTATAAAAATTATTAAAGGGCCATAACTCTGACAAAAATCATTGAACCGGAAAATGCTGACAATATGCACAACTAGACGTGGTACTGATCATTCCTGTAAAGTTTGGATGAAATTGCACCAGTAGTTTATGAGGAGTAGTCCGGACAAGTTTTGTGACAGACGGACAGACAGACGGACGGACGGACAGACGACGGAGAAGTGATCCTTATATGTCGCCACTACTCCGTAGAGGCGACACAAAAATGGCATAACGTTTCCATTAATGAGTTGAATGCATTGAAAATCGAACTTGACCTTTTTCATTGGAACTTTACAGGATTGATTGGTAGCTCAAGTACTTACGCATATTACACGGGTTTTCCGCTTAAATGGCTTTTTGGTTGAGATTTGGCCCTTGAATTAAAAAGTGATTTTTTTGCCCTGCCAGCTACACAGAAGCGTGTCCAGACTATAAAGAAACTACTTTCATCCAAACTTTACAGGGAATGATCAGTACTCAGCCTAGTTATGATTTTTGTCAGAATTATGGCCCTTTAATGATTTTCTTTTTGGATTACTTCTCTTATACTACCAATGCAATTTAAATGAAACTTTACAGGATAGATAGGTACCTCGAGTACTTGCGTATATTAAACGGGTTTTTTTTTCCAGTAGAATGTTTTTTTTTTCGGCTGAGTTATAGCCCTTGAATAAAAGATGCGTTTTGCCCTGTTAATGGTTTTTGTGTCTCCTGCTACACAGTAGCTGCAACATGCAATTGGCTATCATAAGGCGACACATGTGCCTTGTTTGAATATTACATAACAGTATTCATTTCTATACCACAAGTTGTCAAATGAGTGTTACAGAAATACAGAACTATAGATATAGCACATTTAAGATTTTTAAGATTTTATTGATAAGCCTTTAGGCCTCCGGCCCATAAACATTTACAACATATATATAATATACATACATAAACAGTGAGTGATACAGACATGATTAAATACAAAACTAACAGTATTTCAGTATTCATTGAAAAATATCTAAGAAACCTTGTCTTTTATCTAATGCATAGAAAAAATACATTGCAGTGTTTCTAATTTCATTTTCGTTAGACATTAATGAATAAAATTTAGCAAGTGTTGGTAGCATTCTGTAATTTTCCGAAATATATTGGCAGCGTATATCATTATATAGAGGACAGATTAACATAAAATGGAACTCGTCCTCTATTGAAGTTTCACAATAAGGACATATACGTTCTTCTCTACTTAAGCCATAATGTCTACCTGTTTCAATAAGAAGATTGTGAACAGAGCATCTAAAAGAAGCAAAACATTTTCGAAATTTGACAATATCTAGGACATGTACATAATATTCAACTGTAAATCTTGTTTTATATGATGAATAATATGTCAATTTCTTATTAAGCATACATTTGGCACTCCAATTTTGTAGATATTGATCTTTTAGTCTATTGACATACAGATTCAAAAAATCATCATTAATAGTTTCATATTGGTTTTCCCAAATATAGCCAAAACCATTACTAAATAAATTTTCTCTGATATCTGAAACCCAATTTTTCCTACCTATTGTATCATACATGTAATATAATAGCATATTATAACATAATTTAGGATATCTATTGTTTGGCATTTTTAACAGTCTTAGCCAATATTTAATACAATTTTTTGATGAGTAGATATACATTGGGTATCGTCCCAAGTCACCCATAACTGCACATACACAACATTATTTCTTATAATTCACGCTGACTTAAGTTCAGTCAGATATCTTTGGATTAACTTTAAGCATAAATAAAAACGATGCATTTTTTCATTTTGTTTCAGGTAGCAATACAAACATGCCAATCACAGCTGCAACTTTACCATGTGTCCACTAATGCCACGGCAAACATTCCAACTTCTGATAAATTTGCTCTAATAAATTGGAAAAACTAAAATATGTTGTCTATATTAAATAGAGCTGGTGAGCAGAAAACATTAAACGTCTTCTCATTAACAAATGTTTCCATTATAGCTATACTTTCAGTTTCAACAAATGTCAAGGTCACTAAGGTTCGATGTCATATTTGAAATATTCATCATGTCAATTTTGTCATAGGAATTTTTTGTCCGAGAATGAATCAATTTTACAAATTAATAACACAAAATTTCAGCAAAATATAATTATTCGATCCTGTGGTCAAAGTCATTTAAATGAGAAAAGTTTTTTTTTGGTTATTGTTCTGAAGGAAGTATGAAGACAATCTGTTATTAAAAGTTAATGATTTTTATGAGTTCATGTTTTTATTTGACTTATTACACAGGACAGATTTCTAATAAGTGTTCTTTTGTCCAAGTATAAATCAGATCCTAAATAAATATCAAAGTTATGACCATTCAAGCAAAATTCACTAATATGACCTATTAAAGTGTCAACTTGGAGGTCAAATTAGAGTCAATATCAAGTTCAATTAATTCTTCTCGAATGACTTGTCACAATGAGTGTTGTGTTTGACCTTCTCCAAGACATTGACCTTCAGGTAGCTATAAGTTTACACTCCATCCATACACCAGTCATAGCAGAAATCAAGCAAAGTTTTAAACAAGAGCACTGAAAAAACCAAGCAATATACATGTAGTACATTGTACGCCCAAATGTTTTGCTTGAGTTATCAAAAATAATCTTTCAATTAGGGTAGAGACCCGATCAAGAAACTTGTCTGCAAAAATATTCTATCTTAATTAACCTTATTGGTACTGTATGACCTCCAGGGTGGAAGCATTTTTTACCCTAAGTGCATGATTCATAAAACATTTATAGAGGTCTGCTAGGCAATGCTAAATATCAAAATATAGAGGCATAGCAATTATCAACAAAAATATAAGATGTGTTTTCCGATACCTAAATCTAGTTAAAGCAAGTTATTAAAAGTAATCCCTGGGGCAAAGTAAATTTTGATCTCAGGAAGCCCAAACCTGTGTTATGCACACCTTCTCACAATAAGTAATACATGTATTTCTGTCAAAAAAAGTTTTAATTTCTTTCTATTGTTTCAAAAAATATGGAGCAGACAAAAAAAATGAAATACAAATACAAAATCTGATACAAAATGACTAAGCGTGACCTTGACCTGAGAAAGGTAAAACCAGTAAGACTTCGTCTTCACATTTCTGTTATGTAGTTTCAATTTCCTTCCACCTTTTCAAAAGATATAGACTGGACACGAAAACTCCTATATAAGTCTGCATAAATCAAGTTATCCCTTGGGTAGGGTCATTTAGATCTCGGGAAGCCGGGACCTGTGGTCGGCACACCGTCTCATTATAAGTCATATTTCTGCCATGTTTCAATGTCGTTTTATCTGTTCAAAAGAAACAGAGCTGACACGATATTTTGAAATCTGAACTTGAGAAAGGTCAAACCTGCGCTCCGCACATCCATTATGATTTACATTTCCGCAAAGTAGTTTCAATTTCCTTCAATCGGTTCAAAATAAAAAAAAACTGCTAACAGACAAACGGACAGATGAGCAGGTGCATATCATTATACGCTGAAATATTTTTGGGCCGGGCGTAAAAAAGTTATAGCTAATTTAAGCAAAATTGAAGGTCAATGTCATTTATGAGTCAAGGCAGTCTGGTCTACAGCATGTTTTGGCATACAACGTCAATGTGACCTAGCCTGTAGGTGGTTATCGACTGCCCAAGACCAATACTCCGACCAAAGGCGCATGGGCTGCCGAGTTATTGGTTTGAAACTGTTTTGGCATGAAAGATCAATGTGGCCTTTACCTTTAACCCTTGACTCAAAATAAAAAGGGGCCATCTAATACCCAAGACCAATGTTCCTATGAATTTTAAGTGTTCTATTTTTATGTCAAGTTATTGATAACAAAAAGTTCTGACCAAAAGCAATAGGGGTCATCTACTAGCGAACACCAATGTACCTGTGAAGTTTGAGGGATGAGGGCCTATCAGTTGTTTTTGGTCAGAAACTGTTTTGACATACAAGGTCAAAATGATCTTGACCTTTGAGCCGTAACCCAAAACTCAATAGTCCATGCGTTCTAAAGTTATTGAATTGCAACAATGTAGGATGGCCAAACAATGTGTCCCCTTTTCTTTGAGGGGGACACAAACAAGAAATGAGAAATGTACATGTAGGAGTCAGTAAGGCTAAACTATTCGAAAAAGTTGTCACATGGGTGTTTTATTGAGTACGAGGGGAAGTCAGAAAATATCCGGACTTTTGACTCGTTCTCGAGAAAACCATTCAACATTTAAAAAAAAAATCTTTCTACTCTTTTTCAAAATATTCTCCACTTACGTCTACGCACGTTTGCCATCTTCGTGGGGGGCTTTTGTATTCACGCTGTGGACCATGACGTAGACCTATGTTTTAGGTACTGTACGTGTAACAGCAGATATCAAAGCCGCCCTGGTCTTATATTTCTTTCCAGCAAGCAATTTTTTTCAGTTCTGGAAACAAATAAAAGTCACAGGGGGCGAGGTCTCTGGGCTATAAGGAGGGTGAGACAACAATTGCCATTTGTAAGAGTTGATAACCTCCACTGTAGCTGCGGCGGTATGGGAGGGGGCGTTACCGTGAAGAAGGAGGACATTTTTTTCTGTGCTAACCTGGGACGCATTTGCTTCAGCTTTTTTCTGAGATTTTTCAGAATTACTTCAGAATAGTACTTGGCGGTGACAGTTTGACCTTTTGGCATTAAATGAGTAAGTATCATTTCTCGTGAATCCCAAAAGGCAACAAGCATGACTTTGCCAGCCGAAGGAGACAGCTTGAACTTTTTAGGAGGTGGGGAACCAGCTCGTTTCCACTGCTTTGACTCAGGTTTGGTCACAGGTTCGGAATAATGAACCCAAATCTCATCTCCAGTGATAATGCGGTTCAAAAACTTATCTCCTTCACGATTAAAACGACTTAAATGTTCTTTTGCATTGGTTACTCTGGTTGCCTTTTGATCTGCGGACAGCTGTCTAGGCACCCACCTGGCACTTACCTTGCTCATGCCTAGGTGTTCGTGTAAAATCTTGTGTGCCGATGCCTTACCGATGCTAAACTTGTTGGCTACCCTCCTCCAAAGTTACTCGACGATTTTTGTTGACAAAAGCTTTAACATTTGCTACCATTGTTGGGGTCACCGCCTCAGCTGGCCGCCCAGTCCTAGGCCTGTCACAAACACTTGTTCTGCCTTCACGAAACTGAGAAACCCAGTTGTAGAAGGTTGAACGTGATACACATTTATCAGAAAATCTTTTTTTAAACCTCTGAAAGATGTGGCAGGGCTGTTCACTTTCTGCAACCAGAAACTTTATTACAGAGCGTTGTTTCTCTAACAAAGAGTCCATGATAGACGAAACACCTATCATATATCAGAGAGCAAAATACTGTGTATACTCAACTATCATTGAAAATAAACTGACCACGTTATTGGCGAATGAATGTAGTTTTCACCAATATATAATGTGTGTATATAGCTGCACGTGGAAAGAGAGAAGCATGAAAAGTCCGGATATTTTCTGACCGTCCCTCGTATAATTTATGCTTACCTATGAATACATAAAATTGACCGAAAACGTACAAAGGCTTGTTATTAAGATGTTTTATCAAGTAAACCACTGCTTTATTATTATGAATGCATAAAATTGTCCCAAAACAGGCACAAACCCTTCAGTAGTTATGGAGATAACAGCTTACAAGGAAAACTTTACCATGAATTTCTAAGTTGAAAAAGGTGAGAAAAATCAGCCTAAATGCAAGATAGAATTATGGATCTTGGTCAGTGACCTACAATTATGACCCTTAATGCATATGTGAAGTTTTAAATAAATATCTTTAATAGTTATTGAGATATGTAAAACTTGCATGTAAACATTAACCAAGAGACTAAGTAGAAAAGGGGAGATAAATCAGCCTAAATGCAAGATAGTGACATACAATTATGACCCTTCATGCATATGTGAAGTTTCAAATCAAAATCTATGATAGTAATTGAGATATGTAAAACTTACATGTAAACATTAACCAAGAGACTAAGTAAAAAGGGGGAGATAAATAAGCCTAAATACATGACACAGATATGAGTGCTGTTCAGTGATCATTATATATGACCACAAATATACATATGAAGTTTCGAGTTTGTATCTTTAATAGTTTCAGAGATATGCAAAACTTGCATGTTAAACTTAACCAAGAAAAGGAGATTTTTTTAGTACAAAAAGGGAGTATAATTCATGGCAAAATACATGGCAGAGTAATGAATCTTGAGATGTGACCTTCAATTATGACCCTTAGTACATGTGTAAAGTTTCAAGTAAATATCTTTGAAGATCTTTAACCTTAACCAAAAATTTCTAAGTGTCAAAGGGCAAATAATTCTGCAAATATTGCAGGCAGAGTTATGCAACTTTGCAAACTGATGTACATTGTTACTATAAATAAGTATTGTATGTTTCAATTGAATTTATCAAGCAATAATCGAGATATTTGACTCTAAAAAAACTTTAACCAAAATTTCTAAGTTAAAAAGGGGCATAATTCTGTAAATATTGTAGGCAGAGTTTTCAAGAGTTACCCTTAATGCATATGTGAAGTTTTAAATAAATATCTTTAATAGTTATTGAGATATGTAAAACTTGCATGTTAACATTAACCAAGAGACTAAGTAGAAAAGGGGAGATAAATCAGCCTAAATGCAAGATAGTGACATACAATTATGACCCTTCATGCATATGTGAAGTTTCAAATCAAAATCTATGATAGTAATTGAGATATGTAAAACTTACATGTAAACATTAACCAAGAGACTAAGTAAGTAACAAGGGTGCCATAGTCACAAAATACGCCCGTTTACGAAAGCTTTAGATGGAGATGGGGGCATTATGGATAAGTGTTATCTAGCAAGCAAGTTTTTATTCTTGGCACTGTGTAGTTAAATGAACCTTAAAACAAATCAGTAGGGAAGATATGCACAGGATGTGTGACCTTGACCTTGGTCGCAGGGACCTGAATTTTATGCACGGCACTCAGCCTCACAATGATGAACATTTGTGCCAAATTATATTGAAATCCCTCTATGCATGTAGAAGTTTTGCTCCAGACAAGCGTTTTCCTATGAGCTCTAACTGTGACCTTCACCTTTGACCTAGAGACTTGGTTCATGTGCAGGGCACTACGTCTCATGGCGGTGAACAATTCTATAAAGTAACATTAAAATTCCTCCATGCATGTAGAAAATATGCTCCGGACAACATCTGGATATTTAA